GCCCCGTATAGATGACCTCTTAGATCGGGTGCGGAGTTGTAAGTACTTTTCTAAAATAGATTTAAAGTCTGGTTATCATCAGATAGAAGTTCACCCTGATGACCAGTATAAGACAACATTCCGGACGAGAACTAACCAATGCACCAGCGACATTCCAGCGCTATATGAATGACTTATTTAGGCCTTGGTTAGATAGATTCGTTGTCGTGTATTTAGATGATATTCTAGTCTTTAGTAGGACTCTCCAGGAGCATGAGGGTCATCTGAGACAGGTCTTGGAGAAGTTGAGAGAATCTAACTTCAAGATCAACGCGAAGAAGTGCGAGTGGGCCAAGACGCAAGTCTTATACTTGGGCCACGTGTTGGACGGAGATGGCATTAAGCCAGAGGACAGCAAGATTGCGGCGATCAGAGATTGGCCAACGCCCCGCAGAGATGCAGTCGTTCCTAGGCTTAGCCAACTATTATAGGAAGTTTGTAAGGAACTTCTCCACTATCGCCGCTCCCCTTCGCAGGTTGCTAAAGAAAGGGGCAATCTGGAAATGAGACAAAGATTGTACACCGGCCCTGAAGAAGTTAAAGCGGGCCTTGATAAAGTATCCAGTCCTCAATGTAGTTGATCCATCCTTACCTTTTGTTGTCACCACTGACGCAAGTCAGTATGGCATAGGTGTTGTTTTACAACAAGATGATGGCAATGGGTATAGGCCCGTAGAGTTCATGTCTGCCAGGATACCTTCAGAGAAGGTAACGACATCTACCTATGAGAGGGAACTTTACGCTCTCAGGCAAGCACTAGAGCACTGGAAGCACTATTTGCTTGGGAGGCACTTCAAAGTCTATTCAGACCACGAGACTTTAAGGTGGTTGAAGACACAGGCCAAGGACACCTAAGCTTACTAGGTGGGCCACCGAGATAGATCAACATGACTTTGAGCTTAAGCCAGTTAAAGGAAAGTACAATGTGGTTGCGGATGCCCTAAGTAGGAGAGCTGATTACTTTGGAGCGATAGTTCACTATCTGGATATAAGGAGAGACCTGCAACAGAAAGTTAGAGAAGCGTATGCGCAGGGTCCTATCTATAGTGACCTCCTCAAGAGAGTTAAGGAGGCCCCAGAGTCCGAACGAGACTACCGCACTACTGATGGGTTACTATTCGAGAAGACTAATGTAGTTGACCGTCTGTGTGTTCCTAACAGTGAGGAGATCCGTAGTTTGATCTTAGGGGAATGCCACGACACAAAGGGACACTTTGGTTGGCAAAAGACACTAGCCAATCTCAAGCGCGTGTATATATGGCCTAGTATGAAGGCCGACTGTATAGAGTATGTACGCAGTTGTAAAGTCTGTCAGAGAAATAAGACTACTACGCGTGCCCCTCTAGGTCTTCTCAGACCTTTGCCTATTCCCGACAGACCAGGAGACTCCGTGTCCATTGACTTTATGGACACAAGTGTCAAGAGTAGGCACGGCACGAGCCAAGTCATGGTTAAAGTTGATAGATTTAGCAAGTATGCAGTTTTTGTTCCTCTGCCTGCAGAGGCACGAACAGACTTAGTAATTTAGAAGTTATTTGATCATTGCGTCAGTGAACATGGTATACCGCTGTCGATAATAAGTGACAAAGACACCCGGTTCACCAGTCAGAACTGGCAGGAACTGATGAAAGTTTATGGTTCAAAGTTATTGATGTCATCTGGCCGTTATCCTGAGACTAACGGTCAGACCGAACAGATGAACAAGCTCCTGTAACAAGTTCTTAGAATGTACATCAGGCCTGACCAGATCAACTAGGATGAGATGCTCCCAAAGGTAGTCAGTGCATACAATAACAGCATGCACTTAGCCACATGTCGCACTCCCAACGAACTGCACAAGTCCTTTAGACCGCGCAGACCATTTGAGGGACTTAACCGGGATCAGATTCAGAGGCTACCGCCCGGTGCACGAGAGTTTGCGATACAACACGAGAAAGAGATAGCTACCGTTGTACCTCAGGAAGGCCCAGCACAGAATGATAGAGCAAGCTAATAAGCGCCATCGCCCCTCGCAGTTTCAAGTAGGTGACTTAGTCTGGGTCAAGTCTAAAGAGTTTGCTCCTGCGGAGAACATCTCACATAAGTTACTGCCTGCATACCGAGGACCGTGGCCAGTCTTAGAGGTCAAGGGTGGAGAGGATGGACCGTCCTACACCATCGAAATTCCAGCACACCTCCACACCTACCCGGTGTTTCATGCGTCAAAGTTGTTGCCTTGTATCACCAGCCAACAGTTTCCATCACGAAGATCCATGATCCCTCCGGACATGGACGGAAAGTTTGACATTGACGGCATCGTGGGTGAAGATGTTTTCAGAACAGGAGGTAGGGGTCGTCCACAGAAACACTATAAGGTCAGGTTCGCTTTTCAGGAACCAGAGGACGACCGCTGGTTTACACGAACATAACGTCTAGAGACAGCTCCCGAAGTAGTCCGAGCATACGAAAGAGATAAGAAAGCAAAAGGTCCTGTCTTAGACTGAAGTATTCTCGAAGGACCTCGAATTTAGGCCGGCGGGAGTGAAACACGGTTTTCACCTTTTTGCAGTCACAGATGCGGGCCCTAGAGTTCGATCCCCAGAACTTACCTTACCCATGTACAGTATCGAGTTGACCCTGAGTGTTTGAACCCGCGACCTGTGTTTTGGTAGTTGGCTGTTGTCTGTCGTAGGTCTGTGTAGTTGTAGGGGTTTGATCTGTAGGTCTGTCGAGTAGGGGTCATAGCTGTGTAGAGGTCGTAGCTGTAGCATTTCTGAAAGGTCAAGGTCGTAGCTGCTACAGTCCTGAAAGGTCAAGGTCGTAGCTGCTACAGTTCTGAAAGGTCAAGGTCGTAGCTGCTACAGTCCCGAAAGGCCAAGTCCACAAACTTCCGGAAGGTCCGGAAGTGGCCTTTCGAGAGTTTCTCATGCTTAGTCAGAGGCAAGTGGGCAAGTGGTGAGTCCAACTTTGCTTAGTCAGCGGTACCCAGTCCCAGTCTCACTTTGCACAGTCAGCAAGTACCATGAGGGACTGTGCACCATGGGCCCGGTGGAAATGGGCAGACCGACGACTTGCGAAGGAGAGAGAGAGAGAGAGAGAGAGAGAGAGAGAGAGAGAGAGTGGCATACTGCGTAGCCACACGGGCCTGCAGGGCCCGTCCCGCATTCTCAGCCTAAAAGCCTAGAAACAAGGGCTTACAGGCCCCGTGTCGTTTCAGCCTGAAAGACTGAAAACGAGGGCCTGCAGGCCCTATGTCGTTTCAGCCTAAAACAGGGCTTTTCAGCCCTGAGGCTTTTCAGCCCTGAGGCTTTTCAGCCTGAAACGGAGGGCCACTTTCGGGCCCTCATAAGATCGACCTGCCCTAACATTCAGGCACAAAACCAGGGTTTCGGGAACAGGCTATTTTTGGCCTGTTCCCACGACAGCCTCAGCAGGAGCTGCAGCGGCAGCCCCTGACTCCCTTCGGCATTGGCAAGAGCAGCCTCCTGGACTGCCTCGCCCTGCAGTCAGGAGGCAGGCCGAGTAGTACATAGGGAGTTCCCATGCACTTCACGGGTAGGTAGTGGGACAGAAGGCAGGAGGCAGTCTTCAGGATTCGGCAGCAGCACTCAGGAGGAGCGCTGCAGGAGTAGCTTAGCGCTAGTAGTAGTCTTCAGCGCTGGGCGCTAGTAGCAGTAGCAGTAGTCTTCAGCGCTGGGCGCTAGTAGGTGGTAGTGGTAGTGTTTGGGAGAGATGGCTGGCGGAGGCCAGCGAGACTTACCTGTGGTGCCATAGCTCCAGATCCATATTCGAGGTACCTGCATCAAGGCGCCAACTTCACAGGTTAGTACCGGACAGAGAGAGAGAGAGAGAGAGAGTTTTTCTTCTTCCTCTTCTAATTCCACCATCTCTTCTTCACCCTCTCACTTCCTGACTTCTCAGTATCAGCGGACTATGACAGAAAGAGAGAGAGTTGTGACTTGAGACTTGACGACATTGGATCCAGACTCGACATGGGGATTCAGACATTTTGACGAGGGACTATTTGGGCTTGTGCCGAAGACTTGGTGTTGACGACATTCCCATCTTCCCTTCTTCTTCCTCTAACCCCCCTCTTCTTCGTCTGTGTATGGTTGGGGCTGGCGTATTCTTCCTGTGTGAGCGCCAGACCCCTTCACACCATGGAGTGATGATGATGATGATGTATGTTCGGGCCTGCATTGCAATATTGATTGTTCGGATCATTGGTATCTAAGTCTTCCGCTACGCTATCTTGTACTTTGTGAGAGAGGTCGGTTCTTGTTCTGGTCTGCACCGTTACAGTATGCAACACACAGAGAGAGAGAGAGAGAGAGAGAGAGAGAGAGAGAGAGAGAGAGAGAGAGAGAGAGAGAGAGAGAGGGAGAGGGAGAGAGCACCTGATATTACCTGTTCATGCTCATTGGCGATAGCGGCCATCAACAGCTTGTAATTGAGCTCAACTCTGTATAATAATAAACTGCCGGGGACAGTTTTCATCTTCGGGTTTGCAGAGTTGCTGTTCAATGCTCGGTGTGAATCTTCTGTGAGTATAGATAGATAGATAGATAGATAGATAGATAGATAGATAGATAGATAGATAGATAGATAGAGAGAGAGAGAGAGAGAGAGAGAGAGAGAGAGAGNATAGATAGATAGATAGATAGATAGATAGAGAGAGAGAGAGAGAGAGAGAGAGAGAGAGAGAGAGAGAGAGAGAGAGAGAGAGCACCTGATATTACCTGTTCATGCTCATTGGCGATAGCGGCCATCAACAGCTTGTAATTGAACTCAACTCTGTATAATAACAAACGGCCGCGGACAGTTTTCATCTTCGGGTTTGCAGAGTTGCTGCTCAATGCTCGGTGTGAATCTTCTGTGAGTTTATGCTGCAAGTTCATTTGGCGGTTGTTTGCAGTTGGGTTACTTTCAATTTCAAATGTCTCATTTCCCCGTCCATCCCCCGTCGTCATGTACGTGATCAGGTGACAGGGAGTGGAGGAGGATCACTCACAGTATGGAGCTTGGCTTCTATGTCAGCCATTGCTGGGGTGATGATGCCAGCAGGAGTACAGAGCGTCCAATTTGCTCGAGATCAGGCAAGTGCTTCCTGCTTGACCCTTCCCTTGCCGACCCACTGCTTGCCAAAAGAAACGGAACCGGCGCGGGCCTTTTCTTGGCTGACGCAGCGGCGCCGCCATCCATTTTGATCCAGTAGCCTACTGCCGAAACTTGCAGCGCATATGCAGCCGTGTCAGGAAAAAATGGCTGGGAAATGTGTACTGGTGGTTTAGCAGTGTATGTAATCTTTGTAATGGCAATGTTTATTCTGTCATAACTGTACTGAGTGTGCTCCATTTTCTTGCCATGCATGCAATGTCACCAAGATGTTCAGGGAGTTCAGAATTAATGAAAGAATGGTGAACTCCAATCAAGCCATGCTGCTATTGATCAATGCCTCGTTAAGCGATACTGTTGGTTTTGCCAGCACATTCATCACTCTGCAAGGAACCTGACTGTTCACGGCTTGCTGGAGTGTTTCACATCGCATGCTTAGATGTCATCACACAGATAAAGAAGCTTCACACAAAGCCAAGTCAAAATGAGATGAGAACCAGATAGCGCAGCTCATATTATCAAAATCACATTATATAAAGAGTATCTCGAGTTCAAGAGTTCAGCGCCAACAGATCACACGTCTCCTTCAACAAACGCGAACATAGGGCCTGGCTCAGCCAGCGTATGCCCAGATCACAGGTATGGCGCCAGCAGGCAAGTATCCACCATATCCAACTTCGGAACCTGTCCTCCCTCTCTCTTCTCTCTCAGGATCTCTGTTCTGATTCCCTTGTCTCATCATGCATGCACACTCCCTATTTACGAGAATCTACTCTGAATGCTACTCACTGACAACCTACTACTAACCCTTCTACTACTAACAAAGCTGGCGCAGCTATGGCTTCTTCTGCTAGCCAGCGCCCAGCACTTCTCCTTCCTGGCGCAGCTTTCAAGCCTGCGCTCCTTCCCTGCACTCTAGCGCACAAGTGCCACAGCACTTCCACGCATCAATGCCAATGGGAATCTGTCGTGTAGGGAGGCTAGCTTGGTCTCTTATAGTGCTGGCCTCCCTTCGTGAGGCCTGAATCATTCTTCGTTGGATCTTTTCCCAGTCCCAGACCACTGCAGAATGTGTCCCGGTACCTTTCCCTCAGGGTCTGCTGCCGCTGCGGCCTTTAGGCCTGAATTTCGGACTTCCAGACTGCATCTGGACTCCCTCTTTGACTTGAATCTAGACAGGGACCTTATTTCTTTGACTTCTTTATGAACAGACACACCTTTTGCACGAACAGAATCATTTACTGCACGAACAGACATGACTTGCACAGCCCCCTGGACGAACAGACGTGACTCTCACAATTGAATGCTGCAACTGTTCGTCCTGGGGCATGACTGTGACCTTTGGCGCAAGTCCTCACTTAAGTTAGGATGTGACTTTTGACCCAGAGAACGTCTTTTGATCTGCTTTTCACGAATTGAGTTCTGGCCAAGTGGGCCCCATTATGCTGCGTTCGTCATTCAGGGTCTGAACGGGTAAAGGCCCTTTTTGCAGCACATATGCAGCCGTGTCAGGAAAAAATGGCTGGGAAATGTGCACTGGTGGTTTAGCAGTGTATGTAATCTTTGTAATGGAAATGTTTATTCTGTCATAACTGTACTGAGTGTGCTCCATTTTCTTGCCATGCATGCAATGCCACCAAGATGTTCAGGGAGTTCAGAATTAATGAAAGAATGGTGAACTCCAATCAAGCCATGCTGATATTGATCAATGCCTCGTTAAGCGATACTGTTGGTTTTGCCAGCACATTCATCACTCCAAGTCTACAACCGTAAGGAGCAATAAAGGGCACGGGCCTATTTCTGTAGCAAATTGTGCCAGTATGGTTCTTCTATTTCACTCCATGTTTGTGCAATAGTTTTCATCATCAAATGCTTGGCGTCCATTCATGCGTGATTCTTCACAAACTCTCAATGTCCGAAACTTTCTTGACGTCCCAAACTTTTGAGTCTTGACCAATCATAGAGCAGCATAGTTTTCCTGGTTGTGCTGCTGATTTTTGTGCACATCAACAACCCCGTTGGTACRATTCTCCCCTCCATTTTTTTTTTTCCCGACCATTCCTTGAATTATGTGTGTCATCCTTGGGCAGGGGCGATGCTAATTACCCTTCTCTGTACCATCGCAATTTTAATGGATGTCCTGAAGGACACAATTCTCCCTTCCTATTCAAGAGAAGTTAGAGAACATTCATATTTTCAACCACCTGGTGGCAAGGAACATGAGTATGGACGAAGCACAGAAATCCAGAATGCAATATCACACTGAAGTCCAAGTAGGCAAAGCCAAAGCAGATAGTACAATGGAACCGAATAACCATCCAATTGAGAATGATACAGAAGAATCGTGAGTCAATGTCCATGCCCAACAGGGCAACACCAACAGCATAACCCAAATGTAGCTCTCTCTTGTGAATGGCGCCAGGCGCCCTATCTACTCTACAGCCTATCCTACAACTACAGCAATGAAAGCAACCAGACAACTTGACTACCAGCGAGTGATGATGTCAACACCAATGCCGACCTCCACCTTCACCAGGTACGTGTCCTCTTCCCCACACTCTCCCTTGTTACCCACACAGCGCCCTTCACCTCCGAAGACCACCTTCGCCCTTCACACTCACTGCACCCTCATGCGGCCTGGCTATGGCCACCAGTGCCCTGGTGCGCAGGCAGCGCCCTACCGCGTAGCGCTGGTCTGCCTTGCACTTCTCTTAGCGCAGCGCAGCAGCAGCAGCAGCTCGCATTTGCGCAGGGTGCCGGCATTGCCCGCAATGGCCAAGATCCCTGCCCACTCGCCCTGCTTGCCAATATGCCAGTGCAGCGTGTGGGCGGCCTCCCTTCAGCCTGTGACCGGGACCCAGAGGCTGAACCCAGCCCGATACAGTTGGGCCCCCGGGCAATGCAGTTGCGCCTCCTTCATCAAGGCCTGCGGCCAGATTCAGACAGTGGGCCGATTTCCCTTTGGCATTTTCGGCCTCTATACCCAGCATGCATTGTCGGCCTCACATTCGAGTGCCCAGGGCCTAACTAACTCAGAGGCCCTGGGCATTTCAGCATTTGCTGAAATCCGAGACTCGGTGCACTCCAACCAACTGGCGTGCTACAACTGTATGGACCCCACTTCGTGAAATGTTGGCACAGAGGGCTCTTGTTGATTTGCTGGCCCGCCTTCACTTAGGGCGGGCACGAGGCTTGCTG